TCATTTGGGTTTTAGGAATTCCTCTCAGTTACGTTGCCCTTGATCCAGTCCTGCCAGACATCTTGTACCCTCCTTGCCACTGATTTTGGATCACTTGTTCCCTTTTCTTTGGGTTTGTTAACACCCACTTCCTTTCCCCTGCCTCCACTTCTCCCATGACCCCCTGGAACTGTCATCCTATTGTTCTCTCTTCTGGCTTGTTTATACCGCCTATCCCTTCCAGGTAGACATGCTATGTATCATCAAAAGACAGTACAATGAAGCAACAATAGAAAGTGAAACAGTGCTACAACAGCAACAACAACACATAAAAAACATATAAATAGTTTAGGCTCTATTTGTTGTCCTTCACAAGTGCTTTCCTGTTGTGTCAGATGGGGTGCCATGCCCTGGCACCACATCTATCCCTGGGGACTTCATTGCTCTGCTCCCCCACTGCTCTGCTGCATGCCCATGCCCTGGCACCACATCTATCCTTGGGGACTTCATTGCTCTGCTGCCCCCACTGCTCTGCTGCATGCCCTGAGGCTGCTTCACCGTAGTGAGCTCAGGGCGGGCACAATCCCGCTGTGTGTCTCTAGTGTTGTTCCCAATGGTGCTATGGGTTAATGAGGAATGCTGTGTCCTGCGGTGAGGCTGGCCCTGTGATCATCTCTGTGCATTGTTGTTCTGAGCAGGAACATTGTCTTCAGGGCTTGGTGAGCCAGGATGTGCTTCACTCTTTCTTTTATTTATTTATTTTTTTTCCCTTTCCCCCCTCATTGGCTCCTGTGTGCTGTGATCAGACAAGTCCCTCTTCTTGAGCTGTAGCTTCAGTGCTGTCCTCTGAAGTGAATTCTTGGTGGGAGGGTGGTGCTGCCCACTTAGTTGGTAATGGGGTCGGCTCCTCATGCCTCTGTATTGGTTCCCTGCTTCATGTTAGTGTGTGTGTTCTTGTCTTGGAACTCCAGGTTGAAGTCTCGTCCTTATTTCCTTATGGAGACACAATCAACACCCTTTTCCTGTGTGAGTTAGTGCCCTGTTCTGCTACATTGTAGCATTTTATCCAGTTTAACTTTGATACCAAATGGATGGTCTATTCATAAATTGAAAACAAATGTTAATGAACATTTTAAACTCCACTTCTAATTAAATTAGGATTATTTTATAACTTGCCTCCCATTTTTTTCTCTTATTTCTGTGTACAGTACGTTTCCAGATAACATTGCCTACTAAATCTGCTTGTTGTAGTTGTTTCTGCTCTATTATTAATCTTGGTCCCGACATTTTTATACAATACATTTTGACTTTGAAAGTTATATTTAACTAGCATAAAAGTCCCTTAAAAAAAAAAGTAAGGCAACTGAGATAACCAAAATTAAATTGTTTTTAACAATTTATGACACGGGCTTTTGAAAAACCATGGTCATAAGCATTGCTACTTCCAGGAGAAGAAAATGTTCCTTTGAATTTATCACTGTACTGTTCCTCCTTAGTTTTATCAGCAAAGTGAGAAAGAAATAAATTAGGAGCAGAAATTTAAGGTAACTTGTAATCTTTCTGAGTCTGAATAAATTTCATATTTCTCTTAATGGTTGGGTAATATAAAAAATACACTGCTTCTTTTATTTATGTTTGTTGTTGCTAGGGGTGATTTTGAGTCAGTTTGGATTCAGAATGGCCTTATGTATAGCAGGTGACAAGTTGCCCTGACCTGTGGAAAAATACACAAGAAACAAGAATTAAGTTATACCTGTCAGCCGTTCTGCCCGGAACTTTAAAAAATGTAATTGTAGTTGTTGATGTTAGCCTCTATTTGTCCCACTAACCCATTACCTTAAAAGCAAAGGCATATATCCTAGAAAGTTCCCACTTACTCCACCCATCCTCTCGAAAAACACCATCTTTTAGATTATACTACTTTCGTTTTTCTCATTTTTTTTCAATAATATAAGGGAATGTTTATATCCTAAATTTAAGTGAAAAAAAAGTGTAAATCTTCTGAATTTTAATGGTAGATAACAAACAAATATTGGAGGCATACGTAACTGTGTTGATTTAATTGGTGTCTTCTCCTTTACCACTCTGATCTCTAAGATCCATTGTAATGGCTATGCAGAACTCACAGACAAAATTCATGATTAGTGGGTTTATTAAGGAAGTTAACAAGTTGTAATGCCAGTGAGAAATGCTCAGGGTGGCTGTTTACCAGGCCATGATTCATAGTTTCAAGTCTACAAATAAATACCCAAAGTCACATACTACTCTGTTCTAAACCTCAACTAGATGGCATCCAGCTGAAGCTCCAAGGGCCTGCAACCCCAGCTCCTGGAATTAGTGCCCAGAGGCATCCCATACCAGTAAGCATCAGCCCAAATACACTAAGCTCCACTTCTCTGAGGCAGCAAATCCATTTTGCCAACTAAGTGTCCAGAGGAACCTCACTTCACTAGCCAGCATCCCACACAAAAGCACTCAGATTAACTTGCTCTGTGAGTTGGGAAGCCCATCACACTGTTGTATTCTCTGTCTTCTGGTTCTACTCCTGCTCTTCTGATGGTGTAGCTGTAAGTTGAATCCAGAAGGTTCATTGGAAGAGCATGTAGGCTAATTGTGTTATTTAGCTCTTCTGTATCTTTGTTGAGTTTTTCTATTTATTCTGTTCTTCATTGAATGTGATTTGTTAAAGTCTAACGTCTCCTACTCTTGTGGAATTATCTGTATCTTTTAAATTCTGTTAGTTTTATGTATTTTAGAGCTCTTCCATTGTGTTTATAGGTATTTATTATGGTCACTCCTTATTAGATAGACACTTTAATCATGATATAATGTCCTTTCTTGTCCTTTATGCTGATTTTGCTTTAGAGTGTATTTTATTAGAAATTAAAATAGCCTCCAAGCTAATTTTAGTTGCCATTTGCTTGTTTGTTTTGTGTGTTAGACAGGGTTCTCTAGAGATATAAAACCAAATTGCTGATAATTTAATATATTTATTTATAAAGATAATTAGATATATAATAAGAAATGAACTGTTAAATCATATACAGATAAATA